GTTACTTATTTAAAAGACACGAAAGTGGAACATCACTCTTTCACGCTTCCTGAGGATAAAGACATAAAAGTTGTGATAAGAGGTCTTTTAAGAGATACAGATACGGTAGAAATACAAGAGGAGTTAGAGGATTTAGGATACAAAGTTGAATCAGTTAAAGCAACTTACGCGCAGAAGAAAAGGGGAGGTTATTAAACTTCCGCTATTTTTAGTTACTCTGCCTAAGAAACCCAAATCCAAAGATATACACAACGAAACTCACTTATGTGACCTAGGAATTAAAGTCGAAAATTATAAAGGTAGATCGGGCACGCTACAATGCTATAGGTGCCAAGGATTTCATCATACGCAAACTGGCTGTAACTATGCACCCAAGTGCGTGAGATGCGGAGAGGGACATTTGTCCTTTGAATGCCCTAATAAAAACTCTGACTTGCCACCATGTTGTGCGAACTGTAAACAATCTCACACCTCGAACTTTAGGGGTTGTGAGATGTTCCCTAAAAAGAAACAAGATAAGCCAAAAGTCTATACTAGTAGGGTTATAGAAAATAAATCATTTGCACAAGCCCTGTCTACTGGTTTGTATGCAGACACGATCAAGGAAGCAAAAACTGTTTTTGCACACCTGGCCGAGCTTGTATCGGTCATTAAGAGCTCCGGCTTTCTTTTAACACAGCAAATAGGACAAAATGCACCTACTCATAAGGACAAAACTACCATAAATCAAGATCTTAATGGATAGGTACACCACACAAGGAGATCCCATAAAATTAGCATTCTGGAATGCTCATGCCATTCAGAACAAGTTGACGGAATTTTTAAACTTCCTTAACAATCACAATATTGATATTGCCCTTGTAACAGAGACTTTTGCCACGCCATGCGTGCGTATAAATTTGCCTAATTACCGCACATATAGGTGCGATCGTTTGAGTCACCGTGGTGGGGGGGCCGCAATTTATGTGCGAAACTCGCTACAGTCCTGTTTGATTAGCCAAGATAGAAACGACGGACATGAGATGGTCGCAGTCTCAGTGTACTTACCGCAATATGGTAAATTTTCATTTCATTTTATAATCCGCCCAGGAAACTACTGACGGAAAGTGTTCTTTCCAAACTTCTCTCTCTGACACTAATAAGTATATCCTAACGGGTGATCTCAACGCAAAGCACTCCGAGTGGGGGTGCCGTAAAACTAACCAAAATGGTAAGGTCCTCTATGAATTTATAAATAATCACCCAGTTGCCTTGCATGTTACTGAGGAGTATACGTATAGACCACAGAACCCAAGAAATGCAGACCTTCTTGATATTCTTCTGACAAATACTTCAATCCCTATTTATACTGAAGTAAAGCACGAATTGAGCTCTGACCATATACCGGTCATTGCTTACCTAGGCACTACTAAAGAGGCAGAAAATGAAATGATCCGCACGACTGACTGGAATAAGTTCCAGAAGTTTCTCAGTCAGAATCCGCCCATCTTTGATACTCTGAACTCGCGGAAAGATATAGATGATGCAGTTGATACCCTCACTGATTCAATCAATAATGCTATTGAAAATGCCATCTAGACACGTGAGAAGAAATAATAACGCTGGCATTCTGCCACAGGAAATTAGAGAGATGATTAAGGACCGGAATAGGATGAGGAAAGCGTGGCACCTTACATGGAGCCCTCACGTTAAAAGAGATATGAACAAATTAAATAAATTAATTAAAAAGAAAATAGATGAGCATAAGAGAGATGTATGGGAGGAAAAAATTCAGAATCTTAGTCCGAATGATGGCAGTCTCTGGACGTTCATGCGTAACTTGAAAAGGCAGCGTACATGCAATAAGCCGATTTATACTGAAAACTCTGTTGCTCTCAACAATAAAGACAAATCGACGGTCCTTGCGGACCATTTAGAAGAGCAGTTCAGACCTAACATGACGCCCATGGACATTAATTTTGTCAATGAGGCATGCTACTTTGTTAGGGATTGGCTTAATGCCCACACTGCTAAGAGGTACATGGCCACTGCTACCCCCAGTGAGATCAAAGAAATCACAAAGAAGCTTAAAGTCAAAAAGGCCCCTGGCATAGACGGTATTAATAATCACGCACTTAGAAATCTGCCCTGCAATGTTGTGACAAAATTCACGAGTATTATCAATGCGTGTCTTAGTCAATGCTATTTTCCCACAAAATGGAAAATCGCAAAAGTTATTTTATTGCCTAAGCCCGGCAAGGATAACACTAAGCCAGATGGGTACAGGCCCATTAGCTTGCTTCCGGGACTAGGAAAGGTCTTTGAGAGATTAATCTACAGCAGATTGAAAAACTATATTGAATTACTGCCTCCGGAACAATTTGGTTTCCGGAGAAAGCTTTCAACAACGAAGCAGCTGGTTCGGCTCGTCGAGTTTTGTGGGGATGCGCTTCACAAGAAACAAAATGTCGCCTTACTCATGCTAGACGTGGCGAAGGCATTCGACCGCGTCTGGCATGAGGGGCTTATTTATAAACTTATAAATCTCCCTATGGATAGAGAGCTGATTCAGCTAATTATGTCTTTCATCACTAATAGGAAATTCACTGTGGCTATTGGAAAGGACATCTCCAGTTTACGCACCATGAATGCAGGCGTCCCACAGGGGTCCATTTTAGGGCCCGTCCTGTATTTATTTTATGTTCATGACTTTCCTAGGGCTCACATTGGCAGAAATTACTTTCTTGGGTGCTATGCGGACGATACGGCATTAGCCGTAAAGTCCGCAAACGCACACCATGCAATCAAGAAATTACAGGAGCTTCTACCAGTGGTAGAAAAGTGGTGTAAGACTTGGAGAATTGCTATTAATGCCAGCAAGTCGCAATTATTATTGATAAGGAGGAAAAATACACAGTTGACTATTAACAGTAAGCTCTTCTTATTCTCTGAAGAGATTCCTAGAGTTAGTAAGGCGAAATATTTAGGAGTAATGCTAAATGAAAGATTAAAATGGGGAGATCATATAACAGAGGTCAGAAGAAAAATTTTCACTGTTGTAAATAGTCTCATCCCTATATTGGGTAATTATTCTAGCTTAGACCTCAGGAAAAAGAGGCTAGTTTATATCACGGCAATTAGGCCATTGATGACTTATGCGTCGCCGGCCTGGTGCACGGCTACCAAGGAGGATATAAAAAGACTTCAAATCATGCAAAACAAAGTCTTAAGGCTTATCACCCATGCTCACTTTTTTGTGAGCAATGCTACACTACACTGTGACTTAAAACTGGACACTCTAGAAGAGCACCTGAATAAGATCAACAGGAAATTCTTCACGAAAGCTCTGAACTGTGACCATATGAGAAATTTTGATATCTTTACCTACGAAATATTGAATGAGGACGCCAAACTGCGCCCACTTGCGGCCCACCTTATCAGGGACCCGAACTTTCCCACCTAGTGCCCACCTGTAAATGATGTACCCAATGTGTTTATTAGCATTCTTAATTTTGTATTTTACTCATTTATTGTACTGTGTATTTCTTAAATTCTCTAGTTTTATTCACATTCTACACTCATTTTATGACTCCCACTTAGTCACGCCTTTACCGGGCCGGTTACTTGCTTGTGAGCTCTTGCGTTGCTGGTCTTCCTATTCTTTATCCGTCTTTCTCCTCCTTACTGCGGACATTATGTGAAGATAGTTCTATGTTATTGTGCCCATCCGGCATAAATTTGATTGAGCCAGATAAACTACTGATCTCAGTGGTATTCTGGCTATAAGTTATCAGTCAGTCAGTCACAAAGCATAAGCAGATGCAATTGCCTCCTAATTAAGACAAGACGAGACTACCGTAATAATCACTTTATTTTAAAAATCTCACAATATTTTTTAAAGCTAACACGTTTAAATTCTTAAAAGAGTATTCATAATTTATATATAAGAACTATACGAAAGTTTTGTTGTATTCCTGATTCATTTCCAAACCATTCCGGTAAGCACGGAATTGGTTTCTTTAAACAATTTATTGTCTACTATATTTTCTCTTGGCCTCAATCTCAAATATTTACAAAAATTTTTAGTTAGTCATTGCTCGAAAGGTTAATTAATATCTCTATTGTTCGAAGGTCTCTCAAAGTTTTTTTTGCCCGTATCATTATTACTTCTTTCTTACATACGTACTTACTTACTGCTAATATTAATAATACTAGCAATAATAATTGTTATTAGAATTATTTTCGTATTAAAATGCAATATTTTAGAAACTTATGTTCAGTTTCATGTTTTACTGACAGTAATTTCTTGTTTTCATATAACATGAGTTATTATTTTTACAAAAATAAACGCTGCTGCCCTCCATATTTTAATGGATGTAAGCTTCACTGTTTTTTATAAATATACATATTAGATGCATACACTGCAAAGTTCTTTCAAATATGGTGAATAATTTTATGAAATAATTGAAATAATGTGAAAGACAGGCTTTCGTAAAAATTAAATTTAATATTTTACACGTTCTGCAGAACCCAAAATTTCAGTTAAAAACTAATGGATACACCTCATGCACTTCTAAACGAAATGTTCTCGTGGAAAAAATGCTCATAGAGATAATAAATTCAAGGTGGAGAACAGTAGGCAAATCTTTTGGCATATCTTAGTATAACTTGGCATATCATAACATATCTTATGTCTTTGCTCCCACGATGTTCAGTTTAGTTCAGTTCAGTTATCTGATTTAGACAGCATTTAGCAGCCCACTGCTTTAACTGTCTGTCATGGTATTGCCCTAAGGTTTGGAAAAATGAGAATAAGGCGGTAACCGCCGCGCCTCTATAGGCGGAGCTAGAATAGTACATGAGTACACAATGAAATTTAGAATTTAGAAGTGCATCTGGGAAACTGTTAGAGCTGGCAACAAAATATGAAACTATATTAAGTTATGTAGTAAACTAGTGATGAACAATCATAATTAAATCACTAATACTTTGAATTTTATAATTTAAATCAAATGGCACTTGCCAGGCTGAATTGCAATGAGTTCTACCCAGTGGGTGTGGCTTGAAACGTCGTAGGTCGGCGGCAGTTACGACAGGAGTCACCCTCCCGTAAACTGACCTCGGCCAATGTTTCTTGAAAGTTCACACTCCGGTGGAAAAAGAAATCAGTACTTGCAGGTAAGCACAGTCAAATAATAAAGTGAAAATGAAGAATTCACACTTGAAGACACACAATACTTGTAAAGCATAGTAAATTAAATGTATACACAATGAAACAGCAAGAGAACACTTGATCAACCAACAAGACAGTGGTTTTAGTCTTGTACTCTGTAGCTGTTATTCTCAAAACGCGAAGTGGTGAATTTCTCTATATACACAATATGTACACAAAAGCAGATACCTATGAGCTAAGCCATTACCCATTTGGGTGTCGCAAAGTCAATCATAAGTAGTAGAAAACAAATTGAACATAAAAAATATAAAAAGCTACCAAAGAGCAATGCCATTATCCATTAGGATGTCGCAATGTTCATCTGAGGTAGTTGAAAATACGAAGAATAAGTGAGCTTTAATCCAAAGTCCGATGCTGTGGGATATTGTACAGTCTCATATAATAAAATTTTTTATATACACTATTTACAATTCACCACTTCACATTATGGAAGATGCTTCTGGGCCTTTTTGCAGCACATTCCAGGGTAGGATCATAATTAATTAGCTCCCTTATATGGTCATATCTTGAGTTAGCTATTTTTTGAAAAGAAATTGTGGCTTGTAGTGAGTATCTCATCAGGAACGGGCCGGATCTTCAATTCTTTATGAATCTGTAAGTTTCTGACAAACCACGGCGCATTGATGATATCGCGTAGAATTTTATTTTGAAAAATTTGTAGTCTTCTTCTGTAGGTTTTATAAACGGTGGCCCAAACAGGGATAGCGTACAGAAGTATCGGACGAATAAGTGTAATATATATTTTCTTTTTAATTCTCACATTTAACTTGGATTTTCTGCCAATCAAGGGTTGAAGAGCAATTTTTGCGACAGTCGCTTTTCTGAGTGCATATTCGGAATGTTCTTTAAAGAGCAATTGTGAATCAAAATAGATACCTAAATATTTAGTGCTGTTAACCACAGGAACTTCTTGATTATTAATTTTAATGTTCACTTCAACTGGGGTGAATTTTCGATGTCGGCGAAAAAGTAGAATGTTGCTTTTTAGAGGGATTAATGCTGAGTCTCCATGATTTAAGGTAATGCACAACGTGATTCACTGCAATTTCAAGCTTATCAACAGCAAGTTGTGGTTTCATTGATTGGTCAATATCGCTGTATCATCAGCAAACTTAACTATTTTTGAATTAAGTGGGACGGGCATGTCATTTGTTTAAATGCAAAAAAAGACTGGGTCCAAGAACACTTCTTTGTGGAATTCCGCTTTTGATATACTCGTATTTCTTCGTAGAATAAGTGTTGTTAATTTTTACTTGAAAGGTACGGTTTCTCAGATAACTTTTTAGAAGTTTAATGAAGTTAATTGGCAGATGAGCAAGGTGTAGCTTGTAAATTAAACCATCATGCCACACCTTGTCAAATGCTTTTTTCTAAGTCCAAAAAACAACTTGCAATTGTATTCTTTTTAACGAATGAATCAGCGATATACTCTGTTACATTAAGCAGTTGATGAACAGTACTGTGTCCAGTTCTGAAGCCGAATTGTTCACTATTTATGATATTTTTATCTTGAAGGTGCTTTGTAAGTCTTCTTTGTATGACCTTTTCGAAAACTTTGCCCAGCCCAGGAAGCAGACTAATTGGACGGTATGAGTTAAGCTCTCTTGGATTTCCACGATGTTTTACGGTGTTTTCACCTTGCAATATTTTCTTTGCAATGTTTTCGGTGGACACAAGTTTCCAAATTTGTCAAAATTCCCTTTTAAATCTTGACATTGCCAAAACATGAAAATTTTAATGTTTTAAAATACATTCGTAATTGAAATATTACGATTAGGACAAAAAATTGGGAAAATAAAGCTAGGTAAGGACTTTCGACCCAGGTGTCGATTTCAAAAAAAAGGAAGATGCACAAATAAATGTTATAGTAGACCCATATATAAAATTACAAAGTTCTATGGCTAATCAGCTTTCATTTATGCTAGATTATTAGATGTATACAAACGTCACGAAAAATTCTGATTTTAATATGTTTTAACAGCCGTTTTCCAAGAAGGAGTATTTTATTCTGTTTGTGTAAAGACGTCAGATAAAAAAATTCTCAAAATGGATTCGAGAACTGTCAAAATGGATATTTCGTTGAAATCCAATGACCGAAATACTTTCTTTACTTCGTACAATGAGGTAAATTTTTTTAAGAGTTCACTCTTACTATAAAGAAATTGCATGATGCATTCTTAGAATAAGAAATTTTAATATTCAGAGGTATTCATTTCTTTATTACTGCAATATATTTGCAAATAACTAACAAAAATGGACCTGTATTTGGATGGGATCTGATAAGTATATGAGGACTTAAGAGGAATATAGCTAGGACAGCAGGCAATACAAGTTGGAGATATACAACAAATTCCAAACTCACAGCTCTGTCATCGAAAGACAAAGCAGTTTTATTTAACATAAAAGAAAAAAGCCTAAATTTATACTGTCAGCTATGTGTTATCACTTAGTAAGAGGCAATCGACCATTAACGGCCTTTACCAATATATGATACTTGACTTTTAAATGCTTGAAGAATCGAATAAATTGTATCCAATAATATGGATGTACTTGTACACATGCTGTGCTAGAACTCAGAGATTACCAGCGACGGAGGCTCCTGTTCCGCCGTCCGTAGAATAAGTAAACTTTGAACAAATGAGGTGCTCGTGTGGCGCCATGTATTAGTAGTGATCAAAAGCATTTTAGTTGACTGGAGCTCTGGTTGAGCCATCTCTTGCAGGATGTATTGTAAGGCATTTTTAAAATATCATAATAATTATTCTTTTGATAAGCAATAATTGGCAAGTAAAATGATGAAAAACACAATTTGCAGTACATTGAAACGTTTCACAAGAGTAATAACTATTTACACACAAAGTCTTCCTGCTTTGGCAGGAACAAAGTCCATAGCGCTTTGTAATTTGATAAGTAAATCTATAAGTAAAGAAAATGAAGTAAAATCTTGGCTAATTAAGAAGAAAACGAAAATATATATATTACCACCGAGTATTATGATGAATAATGCAGGGCCTCTTGTGGCGTTGTTCAATTGTGAAATCATAATTTCCTAGTTTTTTGATGATATTCTTGGGATGACTGTCATATTTCATATAAAAGTTATGAGAAGCTTTTAGAATTTCAGAATCCGTGGGTTTAATTTTTAAATCATTGTGAAGAGTGCTGTTTCGTACGAACCAAGGCGCATTTGTAATTATTCGGATGGCCTTGTATTGAATTCTTTGTATTTTTTCACGATGAGCGATGAATTCTTGCAGTTGCAGCCCACGCTGGGAAAGCATACAATAAAATCGGGCGGATAACTTGTAGATAGATAACTCTTTTTGTAGCGAGACTAAGTTTAGAATTTCTGAGTGCATAGATGCTGCCTATTGCATGGTTGGCTTTTTTACAGATATTTTCGATATGGTTTTAGAAGCTTAGTTTTTGATCGAGATAAACGCCTAAATATTTAACACATTTTTCATTTGGGATGAAGATATTGTTAATTGTGATATATATAAATTATAGTGGATTTGCTTTCACTGATTTTAATTTTCTAAACGTTAAACCATGGGAAGATATAGTCTATAGCATTTTGGAGGTTTTGGATGGATCTTTGCGGATTGATGGATTTGCTGAGAATTGCAGTGTCGTCTGCATAGCAGGCGATAATGGCACCTTTGTGGCTGGGAAGATCATTTATGTAGATGTTAAAAAGAAAAGGTGAAAAATTCGAGCCCTGATGGACACCTGCTTTCATTACACTGATATTAGCTCGTTCTTAATACTAACTTGAAAAGTTTTGCTCTCCAGAAAACTTGAAATTAGGAGGATTAATCAAGGTGGAAATTTGTTTCCGATACGTTTCATAAGGAGGCCTGGGTGCCAAACCTTAACAAACGCTTTTTCAATATCAATGATAATGCCAACAACACTTTCTTTTTTATTAAAGGCTTATCCGATAATTGCAGTAATTCTTGTAACTTAATGAGTGGTGCTAAACATACTGTTAGCTGCCTCATTTTATGAATTTATATCAGGTTAGTGTACATATTAACTGGTAGCCAAGAATTCCTAACACTTTAGTATATTCAGTATATCATTTCGTTTTAAAATCATTGCGTCTGCGAATCGAAGAATGTTTTCAAAAAATCTATGCAAAAATAGTCATCCCAACTTAACGTGATTTCACAGTAAAAGAATGAATTTGCCAAGTCTTCCATGGTCGAACCCGCGTAAGCTTCATTCATTTTCCTTAAACGGTAGTTAAATGTTGTCAGTAACTTTGAAAAGTTCGTAGAGTTCAATGCTTATTTAATCGATAACAATCATACGAATTTTATGTATTTCTTTGTTTGGTGACGACTGAATATTACTGAATTTTAATATTTTTACAATAGTCTTGATCTGATTTAATTTCTGATGTCTAAAAAGGTACGGATATTAAATTCCGATGTGAAAAATCAATTTCTGCTTTGTTCATTCATTACTTGGAAGCCATCAAACTGGAAGGACGAAAAAAAATATTATCTAAGTGGTACACCTCTTTACCAAGTGTCTTTCTCTAAGTCCAGAAGAAGTGAATGTTAGAAGACTCATGATCCACCAGCAGAATAAATCTTGTCATTCAGCAAGATTGACAGCTGAGTTTCTTGAACGAAAACACATAAGAATGTCAAAATATTTTCCCTATTCATCTGATCTACCTATACGGGACTTTCGGCTATTTTTTGTCTAAAAAAAACATATGTGAACGTCATTTCATTCCGAATATGAGATTGATGAGTCTATGAATGCATTTTTTTAATAGAATCCGGGAAATGAATAGCTTGAGATTTTTAATCTTTGGAAAATTTGCCTACTATTAGTGCACTGATGTTTGAGGACACTACGCATTTAATTCTGGCCGGAATGGAAAATAAGAAGTGATAGTACAGTTTTAAAATAAAATTTTAAACGTTAGTAAACTTTAAGATCCTTACAATACTAAATAAGGAAAAAGGAAAATGTTAGTTCGTTAACTGTTTTTATTTTTGGTGCTATTTCTCTAGTATAACTGTTGCAAAACCTGACTCCTACAGACCAATAAGCCTCCTTTCTACACTTAGCAAAGTTTTCAAAGCCATTTTACTTAAACGAATAAACACTCATTTGGAAGACAGATACATTATTATCCCTTATCAGTTTGGATTTAGAAGAACTTATCTACTACGAACCAACTGTACAGAGTAATAGAAACCATCTCGGAGGTAATGGCTGCCAAGAAGATTACAATAGGCTTCTTTATTGATATTGCCAAGGCTTTTGATACAGTCTGGTTAAATGCACTCATATACAAATTACATGTTCTGAGATTCCCAGAATACATCATAAACATTACCAATCCCTACCTCACAGGTAGACACTTTGTCGTTCATATCTCTGGTGCAAACTCTACTTCACACCCTATCCTTACAGGGTCCCAGGGGTCCTTGCTAGGACCTACATATTTTAATATTTATGTGAACGACATTCCCACCACACATGACACAACACTTACTATGTATGCAGATGATACAGCGATCCTAGCACAAAGTGCATTTGTTGGTCCAGTTATCCAACGACTATAAAGCTACGTACATTCGCTAGAGATTTGGCTTGCCAAGTGGAAAATTACTGTGAATGTAGCAAAACCAAAGCTGTTCTTTTCACAAGAAAAACGAAAATAAGAAGCAACCTGCAATTTTATAATCAATGCATTCCATGAGCCAAGAAAGTACTTTATCTTGGGGTGATCCTCAATAATACTCTTACATGGTTCCCACACATCACTTCTATTATTCAGAAGTTCCGAGTTCGTAAAGCACAACTCTCCTTATTTGCTCGGATCAGTGTTTTATCTATAGATAAAAAGTTACTTATTTACAAGTCCATTCTTACACCTTTGCTTTGTTATGCAAGCCCAGTATGGGCGCACACAAGAAAATCTAATAGACAAAGGCTCCAAGCATGCCAAAATATGGTATCAAATTACCAGCGCCGCATGGTACATCAGAAATAATCGTATATACCAGGAGTTAGGTGTAGATCTCATTATTATAAATTAGCTAAGAATTTTCATGCAAAACAAGTCACAATAGATAATCGTAGTATAAAAATTTGTAACTATGACTATAATAACATGGCTAATATGGATAGGCCATTGGCCCAACTGAACACCATGATTATATAACCGTAGTATCACCTGATTATATGTACCATCATTTTGTATGTTCTCGCTATACCCTCTGCACAGTGTCTGTATATATGTTAATTAATTTTGTAGTTATAGTATGTATTCCTTATCTTTTTATTATTTTGTATACATAAAAGAATTCAGATTGTGAAATTACTCATATGTATACTTACCATGTGTATGCCATGCGTCACCAGTTCACCTGCTCCTGTGCCAATCCTTCATACAGCTTATTTTCCCAATACTACCTACTGAAAATTAAGTACTTTAGTTACTTAAGTTAGTACAGTCATATTATTAAGCTTATTAGATCATAATAGTAAAAGCTAAAATACATTACTTAAAAAAAGGTATGATGACTTAACCTAAAATTAACAATACTAGGAGTTAATTAAATGCTTAGTTGTAAGTTATTTTCATTAAACTTTGAAGCTACAAAAATATTCTACAGAGGGTAGATAGAGTCTAGGCTCAGGCACCCTGGTGTAGCAAGCACCATTCCACAGAGAAGTAGGACTTTTAAAATCCAAAACGGAACATAGACGTCTGTTTTTTAATCAATGGAATACTTACTATGCTGATTAATTGCCACTGAATATTCAGCTATCGACCCCCAGATCATCATTGATTTCCTAAAAAATATCAACAACTCCCAGGAAATGAAGCAACAAATTGGGAACCGTTCCAACTTATTTGAACCTTAAATATGTTATTTGTAACAGTAAAATCTTCGAGTGCATTATTCTAGATACAAACCTGGTAAAAAGTAATGGTATGTTATGCATTATGCATAAGTTGCTGCAATTCATATTTGCCAAGATATTTGAAAATTAACCCGCTCTCACATAAACGTGGATTGCTAAAAAGCAGTAAAAATAAAACATGAGGTATTATTTATTTACGTCCTTTCGGAAAGCATTGAAATGTAGACGAAAGTTTTTTTTCCCAGTTGATATATCATATATTAAATGACAAAATTTTAATGCTGTTTAGTTGCTAATGTGATAACTTTTGTGCGCGGGTTTGAAATGAAAGATGAATACACTTAGCAGTTTTAAAGAATGATTTCGTTATCCATTGAATTTAAATCTGAACGTACTAAACACTATATTGCGAGCTTGAACTTCATGTTTATTTATTGAAAAAAGTCATTTATTGAAGGAATGTAACCCAAAAGTGTTTCAGATAGTAGAACAGTTCTGTTTTCCAGAATTAACCATGAGAAAAATCAAATGTTCAGATCAATCATGAAGACCAGAACTAATAAGAGTCGTCACCAAATGTGTCAAGTGATCATGGTTAAAAGATGATGTAACTTAGATAGCGAAAATATTGTGCGAAATGGGAACAGCAAATATGAGTTAACAAAGGCGTTTAACAAAGGCATACATAATTAAATCACAAGCCTGCGGTAGGCAAATACGCAGGTAGTTCTACCATTCATTAGACAATTTCATTGTAATTACAGAAATATATTACCTAAAATTTTAATGTGGTATATGTTCTGCTTGATAACCGTTACTCTTCGTTATCTTCATACAGTGTAATTTCTAACATCATAAACCCTTTTGTAGTGTCGAAAGAGGTACTTTATCCGATTGCTCTCGAACAGTTTTCCAAACTCTAAGGCGGTTGTAAAGTAGACCTTTGGACAACCCGCATTTTAAAAGTCCCCAAAAGACCAAAAATACATTGGTGATGGATCAGGAGATTTGTAGGAATATGTGTGAAGGGTATGGTTTTGATACCCGTTTCTCATTCCATTTTTTCAAGGAAATTTACAGTAGAATTTTGACGTGTTGCTTGCTTGCCTTTTTTCGGTGCACTTCTACTGATTGATAACATCGTGTGTAAAGAGAAGGTATTTCATGTTTTAAAATTGAGTACAAAATATGTTCTTGGTAAAATGCGGAGATGATCTCAAAATTTTTCTCCATTCTCTTTATTTTTAATTTTCTGTTGTATTAAAAACCAGCAACAATCGTAAATCCCTTATAAAACCTTCTCCAAGGCGTTCTGCGTTCGACGATATTACGTGGAGATAGACGATACGCATTATATTTTTTCGGCTTTTTAAGATTTAAATCAGCATTAATCACTTTGTTTTCAGTTGAAACTGTGCATGTTAATTATATTACAACTGTCCTTTGATTTGGTAGATTCTCTTTTCACTTTAAAGATCTTACTCGTGCAGCATTCGAAATTTTTCCTTTATTCCGTGGATACGTATTTCGAATAATTTTTACACTATAAAGTGTCAAGTACTAGACTGTAATTTATACTTTCAAATATATAGATGCAGTTAAAAGAATTGGAAGCAAAGTTTCTTTTTTTTACCACAAAGGATATCATCTAAAAATTTGTGCGAACGGCTTCTGTATAGTTTGTTTTTCAGTAACAGTTATTAAACCTTAAAATTAGCAACAATAAGTAAATATTAAGAAAAAAAACAGTATGACAATAAGAAGTATAAAAGAATATGTTATTAAAGTGTTCCGTATGGCAGACACATTATCCGGGATTACTGCTGACAATGGCCTTCCTGTGTGTTCTTCATTCGGTTAATCTTTAGATTATGGTAACTTGGCGATTTTTTCGCGAAAATTTGAACTAGAACTTTAATGGAACAAAAGTGCTTAATCTTGACGAAGATTAGGTGTGAAATTGGGAGAGAGAGCAGAATCGCAAACTGCTTGACGGGTTTTTAAGAATTGCACGTACACGGTATCCATATACACGTCAACCTATTTTCACTTAAAAAAAACATTACAGAATTGCACAAAAATGGCGTTGCGCACACTCTTGACTTTATCCATGTACACTGCTAAAGTCCTAGCTAGTAACCTTTATCGCCTTACCAAAATGTCGCCAAACTACCTGTTACCATATGCCAAAGATTAGCTCTTCATTCAAAAGACAGTTGCAACTTCTGAGAAATTTTGTAAATCATCTGAATAAAATAGCATCAAATGGACCTTCATTTCAAATGCTGATTCTTTTGACGTTGAATACATTCTACTCGGTTTAATCCCACTTTAAAGTCATAGAAAATGATAGTGCGATAAGGTTCTCGTGTCAACTACAGTTTTCTTTCTGCCTAAAATTTATTCTACTATAAATAATGCGCAGTTGTCGAATAACAAATTATCTGCTAGGTGATAATTATTAATATTTTCATATCTAACCGTTAATGGTTTTCTGTTACTCACCGTCTGCGTGTATATCAAAAAGTTCAGAGTGACCTATGCATCTCACTCGGGACGTGTGGTCAATAAAAACGTCTCAAACACAAGTGTCCGTTCCCAAAGTTTCTTTGGAGAATTTCTTAATAGCAAAAAAGCTAATTAATTTGACATAGAAACTACTTGTAATAGAGAAATTCTTTCCTTGTACTGTGTGGACGTAATATTACACGTGCAGGGAACACACTACAGATCATTCGGGAGTAAAATAATAAATTTCATTAAATATTACAGTAACTTTGCTCATAACGCATATGATATCGTAAAACATCAATATGTGTTTCCAAGTACTCAACGAACAAAGCAGAGATGGATTTTTCAAATCAGAATTAATTATCTGCATCTTTTTGGATATAAATTAGATCAGGTGAGGACTATTGTAAAAATATTAAAATTCAATAAATTTCAGTCATGAAAACAAAGAAAGAAATACAGATTATTCTTAGGATTTTCATCAATAAGCATTTAACTATACGAACTTTTCGAAGTCACTGATATCTTTTAACTGCCGTTTAAGGAAAATGAATGAAGTTTACGTGGGTTTGACAATGGATCACTTGGCAAATTGTTGGGATGACTATTTTTGCATAGAATGTTTGGAAACAGGCTTCGATTCGTAGATGCAATGGATTTTAGAACCAAGTAATATACTGTATGTATAAAAGTGTTAGAAACTGTTGGCTGCCAGTTATTTTATACATTAATCTGTTATAAATACATAAAAAAATGTGTAGAAATTTAACTGGATGAAGTTGCGTTCCTATTCAGTGAAACTGTTCTGTTCTTCTGATGGCAGAGCGGTGAGCTTAAATTCTATTTTATAACTCTAATTTGAATTCACTGCTGTCATTAGTGCTGTAGAAGTAACGAGAAATTGTGTACCCGTATGTATTCGTTACTAGGTGAACCAGTACTCGTTACTATCGTATCGTTACTCGTTACTTTCGGTAAAATCGATCGGTATCCGTATCCTGAGCCTATTTTATCGGTCTACGGCCCTAAAAAGGGCCTTGAAACGTCGCATCGCATTGAATCACGTGAGCTATTTTACCCCGCGGGAACTTAGTAGTGCTGCGATAAGGAGTTTTGCGTCGTATTTTTGGGTAGAAATAATTCACTTTATTTTGGTTTTTTTTTTTTTTTTTTTTTTTTTTTTTGGTGCACTGGATATGATTCATTATTAATTTTCTATTGCTGTCAGGGCTTAGTTTCTAAAATCAGAAGCGCCTACGGAAGGCCGTCAGGAAAATAGGAAAAAATAAAATAAAAAGAAAGAAAGAAAGGAAATAAATATTACAATAATAACATTAATTAGTAATTAAAATAATAAAAAATTACTCATTAAAATACTTAATAATTAAATAATTAAAAATAGTGATTAAAATAATGAATAATTAAAGTAACACAATAAATAGCAACTGAAATATAGAATACTTATGAGTAAAATTTAATAAAAATGTAAAAAACAAATAAAAATTAAAATAATTTTTAAATTTATGATGACTAATTAAGTAATAAAGTAAAATACCAGATCTTGTCTTATTGGCTTAGTATCGTTTCGTCCTTCCTCATTTCATCCCCAGCTCGAAAAAGTGTTATTTCGTTTGCTGCCTTCCCCCATCAATTCCCTCTTTCCCGTTTTATCCGCTGTTTGAAAAATAGGTGTTTACGATAAGGCGAACGACTCTTTACTTCAATTAAAATGGTTTAGAAGAGATGACTGTTTCTACTTCGACTTTTGATTTTTTAATACTAGTTAATATTTTATGCAGACAAATTATATTGAGCAGAATAATGAATTTCAGACGTGTTCAAAAGGTGTGTATCTGAATATAATAACATTTTTGTTATACAGTATCCATTTTTTTTTTAATTTCACACATTTCTAAAGCAACAGAAGTACGGTATAACTATTTTGGCACACACATCAAAAACATGTATAATTAAGATTAATGTTACATTCCTTATTAAAAGTAATGGGTCCTCTTTAAATGCAACCATTCATGCTT